CTCCTGAACATTCAAACGTATTATTACATTTTTATACTGAATGACTAGTTGTACACACAAATCTCTGAAGCCAATGAGGTTAATTTGTCTTTCACAGCTTGTTTTTTAACACTTTGTTGCTTACATCAGTGCTCCGCAACCTTTTCTCACCTGCGACGCACAAAAAATCTTTCTGGAATTTCGTGGCACACCAAAGAGTTCCTAGTTATCAAGGAAGTGCCGAAAAAATTCAAATGCTGACACACTTACAATCACACACACAACCACACAACAGTGAATTATATAAAAACATTTAAAATAGACATTATTAAGGAAAAAAAATTGTCGTGTATTAAATACATGATAAAAAATTGCAAAATGTCAAATACATGTATTTGATTGCGGCACACATATATCCTACTCATGGCACACCAGTGTGCCGCCACTCGCTTACATGCTTGCAGAGCTCTGTCATGAGATTTTAAAAATTCTAACAGGTCATTAGAGGTTCGTATTTCCTCATGCTTTAATGTTCTTTCCCACCATTCTCTCGTAAAAGAATCTTTAAATTGCACTATTATCATTAAGAGAGTATCCACGAACTGTTCTACTTTGAAACCCAAATTCTCAAATGAACTTACACATTCTCTTACAGTGTCTACTAATGCTAATAACTGACTGGCATTTTCAGTTTGTAAATTTGATATAGACAAGATTTTCTTTAATAACTATGAAAGTAATTCTCTCTTATATGAAAATCTTTGACACAGTAAATTCCATGCGATTTCAAGTATCTCTCTCAAATAGTTAAAGCTTTAATGCATCTAGCTTTAAAGAACCTTTTAATATTGTAGCTTTTGTGCACCTGATAATTTGTAATTATCCACTATTGCCATTTTAAATAAATTAAAAAATGGTAACCATTCCTCAGCTCTACCCCTAATTACAGGAAGAGTTAGCTTAGGTAAACAAATACAGTCAAAAGTCTTTAATCTGGACTTGTCGGGACTTCGGCGATTCCGAATTATCGATTTTTCCGGATTATAGATCATCAGTTTAAATCTGGTAAGATGGCATGCAGAAATTATAAAATTAAAAATATGAAACCGTAATTTATGAAATAAAGAGCAATTACGATCTAAAGTGTATCAAAATTTACAAAAAAAAAAAAAAAGTTTAATATTTATTTCTTTACTTTATTAAACATTTCTTTCAATGCGTGCATGCGTAAAGTATACATTACACTTAGTCGAAATTAGAAAATTGCAACCAGAAAACTATTTGATGTATACTTGTGATATTTATAATGACGAGGAATTTGATTTAAATCATATCAAAGACAGAATACATCGAGATGAAATACTACATTTAGTAAGGAATTATAAGCGGAATAAAATAAAAACGTCTGCCCTGAAGATAAGGATAGTGCTGACAGATTAACTTTCAGTTCATTGCGCGCCACGACGTTCCCCTCTCCCGCAGAGCAGCGTGAAATTGATAAACATATTTTGGAATGGTTAGAGGAACAAAGATATGCCTTTATCCATTTTTTGCAGCAATTCCACTTTTTGTTTGATGGACATCGAAACATACTTTCATTTTGTAGATGATCCTTTGGCAGCTCCAGCATCGGAAATTCTATTTGACATAATCGAAAGTTCAAGCTTACTATTATAAAATTGCTCTAAAAGTCTGCAGAAAATAATAACCTGGATCCAATTCGAAGGTTAAGGAACAACGCAATCTGAAATAGATAATTAGATAATTTTAGCTTAGCTTATACCGTCCGTTATACATTAAACGCACATGCGTAAACGTATTATATGCATACGCACACGCATATGCGCATGGTTAATGTATTACGCACATGCGTAAACGCCTATGCACATGCATGAGCTCATTATGCTGTGACGCATGCACAGAAAGTTTGTAGCTTTGTGGTCCGGATTATGGGTGTCCGGGTTAATGACTTTTGGCCGTACTCGCTATTTCACAAAATTTAGCTTCCACACTGATATCTTTAACGTTCTTAATATTAACTCTGGTTTGCATTAAAAATAACTCATCAATAGTACCTTGGATATCTTATTGTTCGTATCTGCGAACAGGTTAATATCTTTTTCTTCACAAACTATAAAAATGTTACTAAAAATATCCGAAATTTCAGTCATTACATTACTTAATCTGGATTTAAAATGTTCTAATTGAGCATAATTAGCAGAGTCGTAACTTGGTGTAATTTTCTCTTTTAATTTAGTTAAATTAGCTTTAGCTACATACTTTTCCATCTTAAGTATTGTAAATTCCATAATCTAATAAGAAAGATATAGAAATATACTGACTCACTAATTTTACTGCAACTCCGTAATTGATGGACCAAAAACCATGTGTATTCCATTTTTCATGTATAGTAGACCATAAGGAGACTTGCGATTACCTTAGTAGAACTTCAATAACTCCAGAGTCATAATGTTGGCGGAATCCCTTTATTGGATTTTCAAACATCACGTTGGCCGAGGAACGGCAACAGAACATGGCAAACCTCTAGCTTCAGAAATGCATCTCAAAGAACCTCTGTCTCGTTGGAACTCCAGTAATTTCCAGCAACCTTGAAGTTCCAAACAAACGCTTAAAAACCCTAACAAATTTGCGTCAGTGCAACAACAAGAAATACAATTTGCATAACAAGAAACAGCACCTAAAAACCTTCAGCTGGAGACCATGCCAATTCTTCACAATGCAACAAAATACTGAAATTCTTTTTATCTGTTTATAACTTTCTTAATAGTTTAGGAGACATATTGAAATGTCTCTGTTCCCATAAACTGCACCTTTTCCTGCTGAAAATTGAAAGCATGTTTCTGCATTAATGTTTTTCATTTGTATTTTTCTTGATGATGATATCCAAAATTTGGATGATGGGAGAAAAGGCTTTGCCAGGTTGTATAATAACAGAGCAAATTTTTAAATTCCTGAATGCATGAAATTAATTAAAAAGTTATGTAGATTTTTGTTTGTATATGGCTTGTTATGCACTCATTGTTAGGCAAAGTGGGATTGTAATTAAAAATTAGAGCAGCAGCACCTGATGCTACCTGAATTCAGTGTTTCATTCATGAAGAAACATTGGTGGCTAAAGGTATGTCATCTAAATTGAAAACTGTGTTAGAAGACCACCTTAAGATAATCGCTATTATTGAGGCAAAGCCTCTTAACAGCAGAATAGTTTTATTACTCTGTGATGATATGAGTAACGAGCATAAACAACTTCTTTATTCTGAAGTTTGCTACTTTCATGGAATGAAGTACTTACAAAGTTCTTATAATTAAGACAGGAAGTCGTACTGTTTCTAAATGAAACTGATGAAGATTTTATATCACATCTTGTTAATGATGTGTAACTAAGTATATTTGCATAGTCTTTCAGATGTATTCCCTAAACTAAGTTTCTGTCTAAAAGGTAATTATTAAAAGAGGTTTAAGAGGAAGTTTCATTTGTGATTTAGTTGTGTAAAACAGAGAAAGTTTTTTTTATCATTTCCAACCTTAGAATATTTTTTTAATAGAAAATGACACTTTTTATTGGAAAAGTATTAGTCATTGTTTGCATCTCAGAATATAAAAGCATAATTTAAAACTTATTTTCTGTTCGAAAAATATAATGAAAATTCTTGAATTTGGGATACTTCCTATTCCCATATTAAAAATAACAAACTCATTGAATGAAAGAGAATAGTTAATTTAATTCTTGAATGACATGAAAGATGAAATTCCAAGCAAAATTATGTTTGATTTCTGGACCTCGTTGTGAGTGAAAATGAAATATAGTGAACTGAACAATGCTGTTTTAAAATATAATAATTATAGTAAATAATAATTTAAATAACAATCATAATAATTAAGTTTACTTCTACATTTTGTGTGAAAAAGGACTTTCACACTAAAAAAAATTAGTGAAAGGATTTTCATCACTAACCAATGTTTCAAAACCAACTAAAACCAAAGTATCAAAAACCATGTCAGTTTGACATATATACTGATCTCTGACTTAAGCTTACCAGCATACATCCAAACCTAGAATAGCTTTGCAAAAATCTCTAGTCTCATCCATCTCAGTAGTTATGAGTACCAACATTTATTTAAATTCTAGTTAAAAAGATAAAGATTATCCAAACTCTAATAGCTTTGAATTATTGTTAAAAACCAATTTAAATTCTATTAACTTTACAATTTGATACTGATATAAAATTAGTCGGGTTTTAATTAATTTTATTTTAAAAATGTAAGTATACTGTGTATATGCTAAAAAATTGCTTTCAAAAGGGAAACTGCCCCTTCCTCCACTTTGGAAAAGTTTAGTCCCACTTGAAAAAAATTTGAGAAATGGTGCTTAATTCTTTGAATAGAGCTGTAAGTTTTATTTAGTTATAAGGTGTATCTGCATTTTATTACTTTCTATAAAACTGACACTTTGTCTTTTATCTATTGTGTAAAATACTTCATTTCCCCCCTTTTTTAATGATTTAGAAATTTTTTGTGTCTTTTTAAATCAATAATTCATATATAAAAAGGACAAATAAATATAAATAATACTTTTCAAATAATTAATAATAAATACTGATTCACAGGGGAAGGGGAGGAATGCTAAATTAGCACATATTTAAACTGTTCCTAAAATTTGTTTTATTACTTATATCTATCTTTACTTAGTTTTGCAATTTATTTTATTGTATTTTGAAGACTATATATATCAAGGATTAGGTGTTTCTTAATTTTAAAAAAAATTTAATGCAGAATTGAATATGTATTAAATCTTGGTATCTGGTCAGATTTTCAAGTATTTGACTGTCAGAGCAAATTTTATAGAATTTGATGAATAAATTTAGTTGGAACTTCTGATTATGTATTATTAGTTTTGTAATTTGATTGTCATCATTTTTGTTTATGTAAATAATATAGATTTCTAAGTGTAGTTTATGTATGTTTTTGAAATTTCTTTCATAATATAAATCAATTTTTAGGGCAAGAGATAATTCCTTTGCTAAGGAAGATTTAACATTGCAACTTGAAGAAGCTAGAGCTATTATTAAGGATCGAGTGCTGTTTAATGATACATGTAAGTTCTGTTCTGAGTGTGTTATTGTTTAGTAAGATTTAATGACTGCTGTTTTCTTTTTTATATCCATTATGCTTCAAATTTAGTTATGAAAGATATTTTTTGGTTGGATTCAGATTAAATGATAAATAAAATGTTCTTCTTGTTTTCAGATTATTTCAGATTTATTGAATTTATTTGCCTTTAAGGAATTTCCAGAAATGCTTTTTTAGCTTATACTTTGGATCTTTTGAGCCACATGACCTACATAAAATGTGTCAAAGGCAGTAGCATGAAACAAAATTATGCCAAGTGTTGTGTACAGAATTTACTGTTTATTTTTTCCAATGGTGAGCTCTAGCCTTTTATAGGCATTGGCCACTACTAAGGCCAGAAGTGATGGTCAATTTATTATGGAGGCACCTAATAAGTGGGCTACCATTGCCACCTATGAAGGGGTGAACGAACTGCATCCATGCCTTCTGCAGGATTCAAACCTGGGCCCTTTGGTACAGCAGTCAGAGTCACTAACCTTAATCTGGGCAGTCAATAGAATGCAACAATTGTTGTCAGAAGTGGGTTTTGTGAGGGAATGCCAGTGACCTGCTTACAAGAGAAAGCCATGGCGGAGGAAGTGGGGGCTTTGATGGACGTGTTAGCAGCTGTAAAAGCTGAACAAGAAAAGCTGCAAGAACATTTTCAACAGATGGAAGTGGAGCAAAACAAGATTAGAAGTGACATGACATCGTGGAGCTTAGAGAAGAAACCAAAGCTAAATTAAAGAAAGACATGAAAGAGTAAGTGAAAGAAAAGTTAAAGGAAACTGGAGCCGAAACAGTAGATGTGGAAGAAATATTGGAAGAAAAATTGAGTTCACGAAAGAAGTAGACATTTTGAAAGAAAACCGGAAGCTGAAGAATGAACCTGAAGATTTTAAGATTCTCCCAGTTTCTTCTCGTACAGTAATCAAATCAAGCACATACGATGGAAAATCATCATATAGTTTATATAAGATCCAATTTTTAATCATGGCGTAAACTAAAAAGTGGGACTCCCACAGGAAGGCCTCGCAGTTGGCTGCATCACTCCAAGGCAATGCTGCAGACAGCTTAGGAGTGCTATCAGAAGATCAGATTTCAAATTTCATTGCCTTTGCAAATGCACTGGAATTGAGATTCATGGGAAAATGCTTAAAGGACTGTAGCCGTCTGCAGTTGAAAACTCGCCAGTAGAAAATCATGGAAAGCCTTCAAGAACTGGCCACTGACATTGAGAGGTTAGCGCATCGAGTATATCAGGACTGTTCACCTGATGTCATTGAAAATGTGACCGTGATGCAGTCAAGGATCCGGAAATTCAGAAGGCTCTTAGATTGGCGGATCTGAAAGGTCTAAAAATCCGCTTTGGTCTATGCCATGAAGTTCAATCGGATCAACACATGACAAAAGATTGAAATCCTAATTAGAGCAGCTCAAATACAAGACCCAAATTTTGATGTTGCAAAATTGAGAGAAGAAAAAGAAAGATTTGTGAGGCGTAAAGAAGGTCAAATATAAGCAACCCTGAAAAGAAAACAAGTGCTGGAATTACAAATTGAACATCTCCGCAAGAACTGTCATGTGAACAAAGACCAGGAGAGAGCTCCCGTGAAACCAAACTAGGGAAAACTAAAATGCAGAGATGCAGTCCCTTTGAAAGGTCTCCAGATCTCTTCAATGAGCCGTGGAGATAATGGATAAGAGACTGTTCATTGAAGGATACTTGAATAAGCATCCTTGTAAGATTACCATCGATACAGGAGCAAATGTAATCATTGTAAGTAATAAATGATTCTCGAGATAAAGCATTCTAAAGGCTCCTCCCACAGAAAAACGGATGCTTTATCCAGGAAGCCTTGTCCTGAACACTGCAGGCATTGCTCAAGAGCCGAAGCTAAGTGTGAGTTGGTGAATCCTAGCATCTGGCAAATAACATCTTCAACATCAGCCAATCCAGATTCGTGGAGTGATGAAAAAAATCAGAGAAGATCAATTGGTGGATCCTGGCATAAAGCCAATTATAGAGTTGATGAAATCATTCCATGCAAAATCCAAGTAGTAGGACTTTTCCATCTTCAGTCCTACAACTAAAAGATACTGGGCTCTCTGAGACTCGCTCCACTTCCAAAATGGAGTCTTATATCGATTATGGGAAAGCAATGATGGAATAAGAGATGGCAGCCACTGCTTCCTCGAAATCAAATACCTGATGTTCTGAACGAAATACACAGCAGCCCAACAGGAGGGCATTTCAGCTATATGAAGACTGTAGACAAGGTTCAAGAGTGTTTCTTTTGGAGTTTGGTAAGACTCAATGTTGAGAAGTGGTGCCAATCTTGCGATGCTTGCTCATCCAAGAAAGGACCGAAGGGACATAGCCGGGGAAGACTGCAGTGATACAACATAGGAGTATCTTTTGAGCAAATTGCCCTCGACATACTCAACCTTTGCCATGGGCTACAGACGGCAACAAGTACATCCTCGTTGTAATGGATTATTTTACAAAGTGGCCTAAAGCATACACAATTCCAGACCAAGAGGCGATCACAACAGCTGAAGTTCTGTTACAGAATTGGGTGTGCAGATTTGGGATTCCCATCCAGATTCTTTCCGACCAAGGCAGCAACTTCACTTCGGCTGTGTTCAAGGGAATCTGTGATGTATGGAATTTAAGAAAATGCAGATGACCTTGCTACATTTACATTCTGATGGCATGGTGGCGAGGTTTAAGTATACAATCCTGAACCACTTCTCACTCATGGTTTCCAAGAACCAAGGAGAGTAGGATAGCAAGCTGCCCCTGTTCTTTCTTGCTTACCAAAGTGCCATCTATGAGGGTACAGGCTATTCTCCATCTCAAATCGTAATCTCTGTCTGCTGTGTGACCAGATCGTCGGCCGGCCTCTGGATGTACGTTCCTAGCCTGAGAATTACATGCAAAACCTCCAGGCCTAATTAGAAATGGTACACAGGTTTGCCTGGGAGCGGATCAATATCTCGAGGAACAGGATGATGAAGAGATATGACACAAGCCACCAAGCATGAGTTTGAGGTAAACGACAAGGTATGGCAGTGGAATCCAAGTCAACATAAGGCTGTGTTCAGATGGCTGTTTAAGCGGTTTAAGCCAAGCTGCACTGTCAGTTAACCAGTCTGCTACATCACAAAATCTGATTTAGAGCTTTTGGCATGAAATTTGAAGTTTTCAACCTTATGCCGACTTGGGATAAGCGTCAACCAATCAGAGCGAAACTAAGTGGCATCCTGCAAATGATTTCGCTATTGAAGCCGACATTTTTTTTTTTTTTTCCTAGCGTGGAGTGTCTATCAGATGAAGTGTTAATTTTAAGTGTCAGAATCATCTTGTTATATGGGATACAAAATGTATGGAGAACAGGAATCTTAATCTCATGCAGAAAGCATAGGAAATGATTGCCGAGGATACAAACTATGGTGATAAGTAAAATTTTTTACTTTTTTATTTTGTTATTTAGTGTGCTTGATCTTAATAAAATCTCATTCTTATGTAGGCCCACCAGCGGCCGAGCGGTAAAGTCGCTGAACACTGGTAGTTCGGTCCGAGGTTCGAATCCCGCGAACGGGCTGGCTGCATGGGCGTTTTCGTGGTTTTCCCCATGTGTAACGTGTATACGAGCCAGTTTCCCTTAGAAAGTCCTCCACGAAAGGCATCCCTCCCTTTAGGCAGATAGCCCTCGAGGCTTTGCCATAATCACATACACACACATACATACACTCATTCTTATGTAACTTGTTTCCTGCGTATATTGAATTACTTAAATGCTTTTTTAAAAATCCCATTGTTAAATTTAATTTTGTAGATTAAAACCGTTATGACTGTTGTTATCAATTTAATTTCATTATTATTGTGCTGCTGATATAATGTAGTTATATGTAGGATACTATATAATGCTTTAATATATATATATATATAGCATACATATTTAATCCTACTATATAGTATTTGAAATTTATGAAACATGCATAATTTGAATTTGGTTCAGCAATAAACATGTAAAATCCTAAATGAAGATCATTTAAAAACCATTCTAGTTTATTAGAGTAACAGTGTCTCGGTATGATTTTATGCCATTAAATTTAAAGATTTTATTAAAATTTTATTTGAAAAATATGAATAATTTTTATTTTAAATTTGTATTAACAAGAAGAAAATTTCAATTTCATTGAATGTTGCTTAAATGATCTACAATAGAATCTTATTTATTCCAAATCAGTTGTTTAGTTCATGCAACCTATTGTGACTGTTTTGACTAGTAAAAGTAGAAATAAAGATTTATAATATTGCTATACAGATGTATCTGAAGCAACTGTTTTCATTTATGTGTATTATTTTTTGATGTTATCACATTATAAAAGTCACATAATAAGAAAGAAAACCATATTCAGTGAGGTGAAATCAAAGAAAACACAGTTTAAGTGTATTGTTTACTCTTTTAAGCCATTTAAAATTTATCTTTCTCTTTATTTATGTGTTTAAATTTTTTTCAGTGTAAATAATGCATGGAAATAAAACAGTGTATTTTTGAAGAATATTAAATTACAAATGAATGTGTATGACATGTTTATTGAATGAAAAGAAAATTTATTTGAAAACAGTCAGCATATCTAATGCATTTGCATTGCAATACTGCCAAATAAAATTCAGGGAGAAATAGCATTTGAAATGTTTTAGTTTTGTAAGTTTGTGAATAACTGGAGATAATTAGTTTTTGGACTTATCAATAAGTAAGATAATAAATCAGTAAGTAATCAATAAGTAAGAATATAGTATAGTAAGTAGTAATAAGTAAGAATTTAGTATATTATTGTAATAGTAAGTAGTATTGATAAGATAATAGAGAAAGGGCATTGAATCAATTCAATGCCATTTCTCCATTAGCTTACTAACTTATCATGTGATAAACTTACATTTCAGATAACTTACATATTGTTCAGTTGCACTTT